TTTACCATGTGTTTACTTATTGTCACGTCTTCTATATCTATGCAATTATTCTGTTGTTTAGCCAAATATGAGTACAACAAGTTTCAAGCGTTTCCTGAAGTATGTGTTTGTATTAGTATTTGACAATTGATATGATGTATACAATATTCTGTAGATATAATGTAATATGTCTTTTCCATTACTAGGCTTTTATGTCAATGTTTCAAATCTTGACACAAGAAGGTTGGACTGAAGTGATGAACGAAACCATATTGAGATCAAGTCGTAGTATCGGTCCATTAGTTGCTATTTATTTTATTTTATATCATTTGTTCGTCTCTTTGGTGAGCTTTAAATGATTGGTTAAAAAAACATATGATTGACTCATGTGTTTAATTAACAGATTGTGTTGTCTTTGTTCGTTGCGGTCATTCTCGACAACTTAGAACTCGATGAAGACATTAAGAAAGTGAAACAATTGAAAGCAAGGGAACAGTTGGCGGGTATTAACGAAGAGTTGCCGCTAAGACTTCGGTTGTTTGAGTCGTTCCCGGACTCACCGCAGATGACTCGCGTTCACAAAGCATGCAATGAGTTCTCTGTCCCTAAAGTTCGCGACTCTTTTATGAGATGTTTCGTTGATTTAAGTGAAATACAAGAATCACCGACTGGTAAGCGGCTCATCGAGAATGACCTCGAAGTGACCATAAGAAAACACATACCGTTACGTCTCTTGACTTCGCCATCAAAGACCCGTCAATCGAGTCCACTCTTACGAAGAGTTCACGTCTCGTCAATTGTTTCCGATTCTAATAATCAAAGACTATTAGTGACTGATTCGGCGACACAATTGGCGGGACTCTCGCGAGTGAACGGCCGAAGTATGAGGCGCTCAGTCAGAGGCAATCTTAAGGAAGAGGTGGTCCCCGAAGGGGGCGGAGAGAGTGGCGGACCAACAGTGAGAGGACAAGACTTTGACTTTAAAATGTTGCAAAGGAAGAGACAACAGGCGGAGATGAGACGAACTCAACGCGAGTGCGATCTCAGAGAAAACCACCCCTTTTTTGATACACCACTACTTCTTGTGGGCAGAGAATCTAAATTCAGACTTTGCTGTCAAAGCATTACAAGTGCTAAATACGACCCAAAGAGCAGAGATCCCATTACTGGCAAAGAGCGCAAAGTGAGATACAAAGGCGCTCACGAATTGCTAGGTTTAGTGCCATATTGTGATTGGCTGATGATCATTGTCACCACTGCTTCGTGCGCTTCCATGATGTTTGAGACGGGAACACAACGCGTAGACAATACACCGGCACTGAGGGTCGCTGAGTATACATTCGTCATTGCAATGGCTATCGAGCTTTTACTCAAGACATTGGCCGACGGCTTGCTATTCACTCCGAACGCACTGTTAGCACACGTGGCGGGGATTATGGACTTCTTTATATTTGGGGTGTCATTAGTGTTCATAATAGTGATGCCATCCCACGTCCCGCCGCAGTCTCTCATACAAACTCTATTAGTTTTACGATGCGTTCGTCCGCTCAGAATCTTCTCATTAGTACCTCATATGCGGAAAGTTGTTTATGAATTGTGTCGAGGCTTTAAGGAAATCGCTTTGGTATCAGTTCTGCTAATTGTGTTGCTCTTTGTGTTCGCATCGGTTGGAGTGCATATGTTTGGCGGACTACTGGCCCGATGTAATGATCCCATCATCACTAGAAGAGTTTGTATTTCAAATCTTAAAGACAATTCAAATGATTGATTGATATCACATTAATTATAGGAAGACTGTGTAGGAGTATTCAAAAGATCAGTTCATGTGACGAGAATGAAGTTAGAAAATCATAACGAGTCTATGCCTGTTATTCTTGTTCCCAGAGTTTGGTAAGTATTGAATTACAGTTAAATAAAAATTTACAAAATGATACAACATTTGATTATTTATCTCATATACTCTTCCACTTGAAGTATCAATAGTAGAGTATAAATAAAAAATAAAATCAGTTTTAGTAAATAACCCGCATTTTAGGGCTAATCCACGAAATTTCAATTTTGATTCATTGGGAAATGCAATGTTAGCGTTGTTTGAAATCCTATCACTGGAAGGATATTGTGANCAGTGTATTTGTGCATGGCTATAACAATGAATATACCTAGGTGGTAAATGTAAGGGTTGAGCAATTTTAAGTCTTTTTTTAAGATCACACCATCGCCTCTGGTCTACAGTCAACAGAGCTGTGCCTTTATTTTCTCCGTAGTTGGCAATGACTACACCGACAAACAGTGTTAACCCAATCATACATCCAAGGAATACAAACACGTGAATATAGATTGTGTGTAACTATAAGTCAAATTAATCATAAATACAAATGTCAGTAACAATTATTATATAATTGAATGAATGGATGCGTTATTTGATAACAAAAAAGTAACAAATAAAAGTGAATTTACAGGCGATAGTCTTGCGAGTAAGACATCCCTTATATCGAGCCATCCTTTAAACGAAAGCACTTCAAAAAGAGCTAACATTGCGTTTCCCAAAGAATCAAAGTTAAAGCGACGAGGATTTGCCCTTTAAATGCATTTATTATAACAACACATATTACATATATTTTTTGGTAATTTGTCGGTTAGTTGTAATGAATTAATGGGTCACATATAATGTATGCAGACATTGATTAAGCATTTTTAATTCTGGTTATTTGGTTAGTTTAAGCAGAAATGTTAGTTTAAAATGTTTTACAAAATTACTTTACTTTCAATTTATATCCAATGAATTATTGTATTATGAAATTTAATAATTAATATTTTTTCTAAAATCAATAACTCATTGTTTATTTTATTGGAAGTGTATTAATTTTTTAATTTGTATATTAATGGTAATAACACTTACAGGTCCTACTCTTTCAACAATAATATCCCGATAATCACAATATCCTTCCAGTGATAGGATTTCAAACAACGCTAACATTGCATTTCCCAATGAATCAAAATTGAAATTTCGTGGATTAGCCCTAAAATGCGGGTTATTTACTAAAACTGATTTTATTTTTTATTTATACTCTACTATTGATACTTCAAGTGGAAGAGTATATGAGATAAATAATCAAATGTTGTATCATTTTGTAAATTTTTATTTAACTGTAATTCAATACTTACCAAACTCTGGGAACAAGAATAACAGGCATAGACTCGTTATGATTTTCTAACTTCATTCTCGTCACATGAACTGATCTTTTGAATACTCCTACACAGTCTTCCTATAATTAATGTGATATCAATCAATCATTTGAATTGTCTTTAAGATTTGAAATACAAACTCTTCTAGTGATGATGGGATCATTACATCGGGCCAGTAGTCCGCCAAACATATGCACTCCAACCGATGCGAACACAAAGAGCAACACAATTAGCAGAACTGATACCAAAGCGATTTCCTTAAAGCCTCGACACAATTCATAAACAACTTTCCGCATATGAGGTACTAATGAGAAGATTCTGAGCGGACGAACGCATCGTAAAACTAATAGAGTTTGTATGAGAGACTGCGGCGGGACGTGGGATGGCATCACTATTATGAACACTAATGACACCCCAAATATAAAGAAGTCCATAATCCCCGCCACGTGTGCTAACAGTGCGTTCGGAGTGAATAGCAAGCCGTCGGCCAATGTCTTGAGTAAAAGCTCGATAGCCATTGCAATGACGAATGTATACTCAGCGACCCTCAGTGCCGGTGTATTGTCTACGCGTTGTGTTCCCGTCTCAAACATCATGGAAGCGCACGAAGCAGTGGTGACAATGATCATCAGCCAATCACAATATGGCACTAAACCTAGCAATTCGTGAGCGCCTTTGTATCTCACTTTGCGCTCTTTGCCAGTAATGGGATCTCTGCTCTTTGGGTCGTATTTAGCACTTGTAATGCTTTGACAGCAAAGTCTGAATTTAGATTCTCTGCCCACAAGAAGTAGTGGTGTATCAAAAAAGGGGTGGTTTTCTCTGAGATCGCATTCGCGTTGAGTTCGTCTCATCTCCGCCTGTTGTCTCTTCCTTTGCAACATTTTAAAGTCAAAGTCTTGTCCTCTCACTGTTGGTCCGCCACTCTCTCCGCCCCCTTCGGGGACCACCTCTTCCTTAAGATTGCCTCTGACTGAGCGCCTCATACTTCGGCCGTTCACTCGCGAGAGTCCCGCCAATTGTGTCGCCGAATCAGTCACTAATAGTCTTTGATTATTAGAATCGGAAACAATTGACGAGACGTGAACTCTTCGTAAGAGTGGACTCGATTGACGGGTCTTTGATGGCGAAGTCAAGAGACGTAACGGTATGTGTTTTCTTATGGTCACTTCGAGGTCATTCTCGATGAGCCGCTTACCAGTCGGTGATTCTTGTATTTCACTTAAATCAACGAAACATCTCATAAAAGAGTCGCGAACTTTAGGGACAGAGAACTCATTGCATGCTTTGTGAACGCGAGTCATCTGCGGTGAGTCCGGGAACGACTCAAACAACCGAAGTCTTAGCGGCAACTCTTCGTTAATACCCGCCAACTGTTCCCTTGCTTTCAATTGTTTCACTTTCTTGATGTCTTCATCGAGTTCTAAGTTGTCGAGAATGACCGCAACGAACAAAGACAACACAATCTGTTAATTAAACACATCAGTCAATCATATGTTTTTCTTAACCAATCATTTAATGCTCACCAAAGAGACGAACAAATGATATAAAATAAAATAAATAGCAACTAATGGACCGATACTACGACTTGATCTCAATATGGTTTCATTCATCACTTCAGTCCAACCTTCTTGTGTCAAGATTTGAAACATTGACATAAAAGCCTAGTAATGGAAAAGACATATTACAGCATATCTACAGAATATTGTATACAGAATATCAACAATTATTGTCAAATACTAATACAAACACATACTTCAGGAAACGCTTGAAACTTGTTGTACTCATATTTGGCTAAACAACAGAATAATTGCATAGATATAGAAGACGTGACAATAAGTAAACACATGGTAAA